ACAGGATGCCAAACTTTAAATGACATAAACAAGGATATGATCGTACACGAGTCTTATTATGCAAAATTATAGTTATTTTGTGAACATTTTTTAAAAAAACTAATGATTTATACAGACATAAATTATATAGTAGTATACACATATGAATATAAAATGAAAATATTATGTACTGCATTAAATTATATTATATATAATTACATATAATATTTATTATATTATATTTTGCTTATATTTTTGTTAGTTAGAATTCTTAATGTAAATTTTTTCTAATACATAATCCATAAAGAATCAACTTGGCGAAGTGTGTTTAATAATCTCCCGGCAATGAAGACAGAGATTTTGGAGTGATCATATTAATCTAAAAGATTTTGTGTTCTAATGAAAGATTGTTAGATATGCTAGTGATAGTCTAATTAATACAGAAATCTTGATAGAGCTTACTTTTATACCGGAAAACGTTTTTACCGACCATCTAGAATATTCATCCTTTACGATTAACTAACGCGCAAGTGAACTATTTTTATATTATCGCCTCATTCTTTTAAACACATTTAATAAATTATAAATATTGTAAAAAAAAGGTTTAAAATGTAATATGTACTATAAAATCTTAAAATCTTATGGAGAGAAAAATACCAACATGATTTCAATAAATCAATGCGTTGTATACATGTTGCTTAAAAATCTAGCAACCAAAAATGTTTATTAATATTTTTTGCAACATTTCTTGTGAATGCAACTTTCCAAAGAAAAACAGTGTCAACGAATTTTGTCCAAATTCACATGTTAATATTAGGCGATGAATCAATAAAATATTGTTAACAATACTTTGAATAAGACGAACAAAGTATATATGATCTATTATTTGAAATTCTACAGAATAGACTCGCTAGTCCTTTGTCAAAGTCGTCCATATATCAAGATCTTTAGCAAACAGAGTGTACATATTAGAGATTGTCAGTACTCTTCTTCGTGTTAATTTTACATATTTAATAACTGGAAAACATTGAAAGTTGTCGTATTTGATTGAATATATTGAACGCAGACTCTAAAATCGTATAATAATTAAAGCGATGGATGTTGTATTTTCGACGAAGAATACCTCCTATTGGATGGTTGTTTATAGCTACATATGTAATTATAATTATATATGTAATTTGTAATTTATTTAATATATTTTGTTAAAAACTAAGAACTTTCATAAAATCAAATCTTTTGCTGTTAAACAAAATAATAATTAATTAGTAATACAAATATATATAAAGTAATAGTACAAATAAGTATAATTTAATAATAATTATATAAACCAAATTGCAGTAGCTATTAAACTGTCGTATCCATTGTTACAGTTCTTATTAAACTTTGAGAACTATATCAGCTGTTTCTGTTAAGAGGTTATAAAACATAAACTTGCCGACACGAAATTCTCAATAAAAATGTTATTAATAAAACGCGGCTTTAGTAAATTATTACGCATAAATGAAATATCGAAAACTAGTAAAGTTGGCGAACCTTTATCAGTGAAGGTATGATTTATGTAAATATATTTTAACTGAACTATATTATAAAACATTTCAAGGGATGGGTAAAAAACGTACGACGAATGAAGAATAACATATTCCTGGATATAAACGATGGTTCTTCATCTAGTAAATTCCAAGTTATTGTCGCAAAAAATGAACTGACTAAGGATATACAAAGTGGTTGTAGTATATTTGCTAACGGCACCCTACAAATTGCACCGAACGGTAACTTTGAATTGAATGCGGATGATGTCAATGTAATAGGTGGCATATTTTATTTCTTTAATATTATATATATTCATACAAAATGCTTTAAAATTTATAAGGTCATGGCAATATAACAACTGGTTACCCTTTTGCACCAAAGCAAAAACTTCCTCCAGAATATGCACGCGAATATTTGCATTTACGTTCACGGGTAGATTATGTGGCGGCACAAATGCGTGTGCGGCACAGAGCTCAAAAAGCAATTCATGACTTTATGGACAATGAAGGTTTTGTGCAAATAGACACACCTATAATGTCAACCAATGATTGTGAAGGTGCTGGAGAAGTAAGTTTGTATGCTGTGAAAGACAAATACTATTATTTAACATTTATTAATATTATTTCAGACTTTTACTGTAAGACCCGATTCCTTAGTATTACTAAAAGAAATGTCTAGACCTGATATACCCTTCGAACACAGTTATTTTGACGAAAAAGTTTTTCTTAGTGTTTCCGGGCAACTTCATCTTGAAGCAATGTCCTATGGATTAGGCAATACGTACACATTATCACCAGCATTTCGGGCAGAAAACTGCAAATCACCTCTACACTTGGCAGAATTTTTTATGCTTGAGGCAGAATTAGCATTTATTGATGAATTATCAGCACTGACACAATTTATAGAAAAGATGATAAAAACCATCACCACACAAATTCTGAACAAAAGTGAAGATGACTTGATCAACTGTCAACGCCAAACGCAATATGATACTAATACATTAAAATTACTTCAGAATAATTGGACGACTTTAACTTACGATGAGGCGTTGAAAATTATTATGAATAAAAAAGACCAATTCAAAACAGCTATAACGCCTAATCAAGGATTCTCTAAAGAGCAAGAATTATTTTTAGTTTCCCATTGTAATACACCAGTATTTGTTGTAAATTGGCCAAAAGCAATAAAACCATTTTATATGAAAACTATGAGAAATAATGATGATGTTGTTGAAGCCTTGGATTTGTTAATGCCAACTGTTGGTGAACTTTGTGGTGGCAGTCTACGTGAAAGCGATGCTCAACGTTTAGCGCAAAATCCGGATTTACCAAAAGGTTTAGAGTGGTACGTAGAGTTACGTAAATTTGGTGGTATACCAACTGGTGGCTTCGGTATGGGTTTTGAAAGATATTTACAGCTAATTACTGGTGTCAAGAATATAAGAGATGTTATACCATTTCCAAGATATCCACATAGCTGTAAGTTATAATAAAGATCACTACATAGCAATGCTAAGTAAATTAAAAAATATTGTATTTTTTATTATATTTGAGTCAGTTCTTTTTTATTAAATTTTAAATAATGTTATATGTAACAATTAATTGCAAGTGTATTTTAAAACCTAAGACTTACATTTTTTTATTGACGTAAACACACATTTTTTAATGCTGATTATTTCACTAAAAATTAGTATGCAAAGTAAATATTAAAGTTGGCCTAACATTGGCTTGCGACCTGGCCAGGCTTCCTTTGCGTATTTCTTTTTCTGTGGACCATTAGACGTTGCATCCATTACAATCGAATGATTATCGAAACGATGTGCTAAAGAAAATAAAATAAAAATTGTAAATAAATTTTTTAAATAAAAGTGTTTGCTTATTTGTTTTTTACTTATAACAAACGAATATCACCTAAGAAGATACTTAAATAAATTGTATTTATTAAAAGAAAATAATAAATATGAAAATAATTTGGCTATTGAATGAGAATGACTTTCTTTTATATAAAAAAAATGAGAAATATTTTCAAT